CCGAACTATCCTTTCAGAAATAACTCCATCTGATTCTCCATCGCAACTTTTCAAAGGCTAACTGGTCTTTATATCAAACTATTTGTACATCGAAACTGCGACCTGAATGTTTCAGTGATATAACTGATCCCCTTCAAACTTTTGCTGACGTTTTAAATGAAATAGCTGCTGTGTGTTTACCAAAGTCCTCTACGACTCCACATGTACGAAAACCATGGTTTAATACAGATTTAGACAAACCAGAAAAGCGAGGGGAAAGGCAGAGCATTATTTCCGCCATCATCCAACTGCCCATAACTTTGAAAAAAAATTAAATACTCAACGCTAAGGCGCGTCGTACCTTCAAACAAAACAAACGGAAATCTTGGAGAAATAATGTCTCAAATATTAATTCACGCACGCCAATGTCTTCAAAGGTTCAAAGTCTGCTGTTCACCATCTTAAAGATGGTAATAGTTTAATTACTAGCAAGTCTAAAATTGCAAATATAATTGGCGAAAAACTTGCCAAAAATTCATCATCGGCAAATTATGTCCCTGAGTTTCAGAGATATCAGAAACAACAGGAAAATAACAAAACTTAATTTCGAATCAAATAAAACGGTGAGGATTATAATGAAGTGTTTTCATTACATGAGCTACATACTGCTCTTCAGCAAGCTCATGCCACTGCAGCGGGTGATGATAATATACATTACCAGCTACTGAAACACTTAACTGAACCATGTCTGATGACACTTTTAGATATATTTGACCAAATATGGACGTCTGGAGAATTTCCTCCTTCATGGCGTAGTGTCATTGTAGTCCCAATACCAAAACCTGGCAGGGATCATACAGATCCGTCGAATTACAGACCGATATCTGTAACTAGCTGTGTCTGTAAAACCATGGAACGTATGGTGAATAATAGATTAATTTGGTGTCTCGAAATCAATAACCTTATAACATATATTCAATGTGGTTTCAGAAAAAATCGTAGTACCATTGACCATTTGGTACGTTTAGAATCCTTTGTTAAAAATGCTATAGTAAATAAACAACTTGCTGTATCAATTTTCTTTGATCTTGAGAAAGCTTATGATACGACCTGGAAGCATGGCATTTAGAAAGGATTTACATGATTTTGGTTTGAGAGGCCGTTTGCCTCTTTTTATATCACAGTTTTTAAAACACAGGCAATTTCAAGTCCGAGTGGGTTCAACACTGTCTGATCATTACAATCAGGATCAGGGTGTCCCTCAAAGCAGTATTTTGTCTGTCACACTCTTTAGCATCAAGATCAATAGTTTATCAATGGTTTTAAATGATTCAATTGATGGATCATTATTTGTGGATGATTTCAATATTTCTTGTCGTGGTAAAACTATGCATACTATTGAACGGCAACTGCAGTTATGTTTAAACAAAATAAATTAATGGTGTCTTGTCTATTTGTATACATTTTTGTAGAAAATATAAGCCTCATAAGGACCCATAACTATCTTTAAATTGCACTCCCATCAAAGTTGTAAAGGAGGCCAAATTCTTAGGCCTAATCTTCGATTCCCATTTAACATTCCTTCCACATATTAAAACCCTTAAAGCTAAATGCCTGAAGGCACTCGATTTGTTAAAGGTTGTCTCCAATTCAAAGTGGGGAGGGGCTCAAACTATCCTCTTTCACTTATACAGATCATTGGTGCGATCTAACCTTGATTGTGGCTCCACCGTATATGGTGGAGCCTGCAAAAGCAACCTAAAACTACTTGATTTTGTCCACCACCAAGGCCTATGGCTTTGTCTTGGGTCATTTAGAACTTGTCCTGTTGACAGTCTCTATGTTGAGGCTGATGAGCCATCCCTTCACCAACGTCGTATCAAATTAGCATTACAGTATATAGCAAAACTCTATTCTAACGAGTCGAATCCTGCATTTAACTGTGTATTGAATCCTCTTAGTGAGGATTTATACAACAAAAAGTCTTCCTTTGTTTCGCCTTAATTAAACCCTTCATTTCTGCTTTCGGCATTGAGCTGGAAAATATATCTCCTTCCCGTCTTCTTTCTTCTCCTCCTTGGCAACTGGTGGGGCCTGAAGTTGACCTTACTCTGACAAAGTTTAAGAAATCTGAAACTAATGAATTACAATATAAACAAGAATATAATCAATTAAAAAGTAAATATAATCCTTATTTACAGATGGGTCTAAGGATGGTGGCGCGGTGGCATATGCCACTGTCATTGGATCCAGAACAATATCTGCTCGACTACCAAATAACAGGTCTATTTTCACAGTAGAAGCTAACGCCATATTAACAGCATATCAATCTTTTCCGAATCTCTTTCGTGTCTTCAGGCTATTAAACATCTTTCTTGTAAACATCCACTTTTATTAGAAATTATTGTATTGTATAATAAGCTTGCTACTGGCCAATGCGACATCGTCTTGTGTTGGTTACCCAGCCACGTTGGCATTTCTGGGAATACAATGGCTGATCCTGCTGCCAAGGCAGCACTCAACAAATCTGTGACACCACTTCATATCCCATGCTCTGATTACAAAACTAGCATTAGAACTTACATCCATGATCTGATGCAAAAGAAGTGGGACAACCAGGTAGGTATCAATAAATTGCATGCAATAAAACCCTATATTGATTACACCTACTTGGGTTGTCAGTCCAGATTTGAAGAGGTTATCATGCGACGATGTCGTATTGGCCAGACAAGAAATACTCATGAATACCTATTGAAAGGTGAGGCTCCTCCGTTTTGCAACCCTTGTGATAAAACAATCACGGTCAAGTATGTCTTGCTTGACTGTGTTGAATATTCCATCACAAGGGATAACTATTTCAAATCACGAACTATGAAGGGTCTTTTTAATAATATAAGTTCTCATTTAATTATTGCATTTTTAAAAGAATTAGATTTGTTAAATGATTTGTAAATAGATAAATATTTTATTATTGGTAATTTAGATTAGCAAATGAGATTGTAGTGGCTGTACCCTCAAAGGGGGTTGAAGTATTGTAAAATTATTGTCCCCCTGAGAGGGTACGTAAGTCCACAAACATTCAAAGTCAATTTAAATCTATCCAACTTCTTTAATCGTAGAATATGTGTGTTGTTTTAATGTATGTCTTAATGTGCCTAAACTGCTAACGGCTGACGGGATGGTGTAAATCCAGCTAGGGTCCATGCAGGAAGCAAATGTACTGTAAGTCCCCATGGTCCCTAGTATGGTGATCTACCTTCAGTTGTTGGCAATCTATAGCCTGTTTTTTCATTGTCTTGTCATTTCTAGCTAACATGTTTTAGATTTCATAACTAGTTTTAACTGGATTTCTGTGATATACTAGTAGTTTTACTGTTCTTCGTCAACAGGTTTTAATTTCTAATTTTATTGATGTATGATATAATCATTAATTGTTCTCGTCACGATATGGCTGAAATATTGCCGATGTGACGATAAATATTAACTCACTCACTCGTAAAATGGAAGAGAGTTTAACAAACTAGCATAAAATGTTTTATGTTTCTTAAATGATGAGGTCTAACGTTGTTTTAATACATATATATGTTACAGTCTGACTGTGTTATCAGTCAATTCGTGAAATGACTGTTTTGGTCAGTCAGTTCATGAAGTGACTGAAATCTCTAGTCATTTCATGAAATGACTGAAATTTGGCCCTGTGAGTTACACTATCTGACTGAAATGGATATAGGCATATTGAATAATTGAATTTTTAATCTTGTTTTGAGTATTCTGATAGCTATGGAAACATCCTAATTAGCTTAATCGTACAATGAGTTCTCAGGGAGTGGACTCTGAAGCAACATATCTATCACGACATCCTTATCTGCAGGGCCAAATTTCAGCCATTTCATGAAATGACTAGAGATTTCAGTCATTTCATGAAGTGACTGACCAAAACAGTCATTTCACGAATTGACTGATAACACAGTCTGGCTGTAACATATATACTCTCAAAAAAGAGAAGCGCACAAGCGTTTTCAGCATCCCAAAATGTGTTTGTGAACGTTTGTCATACAAAATATAACTAATACATTAAAAGTGCATGCTGAAAACTTTTTGCACGCAACGCACCTGCAATGTGTCGAAAGCATGAGTGGAGACATCGACAATAAACGGCCAACCCAAATTCATCATTACATTACAAAATGTACGACGTGTATCGAGTTTCATCTTAATCGACTTATGTACACATAAATACGTTTAATACAATTTCTTACTTTTGGCCTGTGCGTTTCTTCTTTATATATATATATATATATTTATTATTTATTTATTTTTGAAGTTTAATGAACCTTAATAGCTACTTGATATATATCGGATAGTTGCCCCGCTCAACAGTAACATCCTTCCCATTGCAGTGTAACTATAAGGTAATGCTTTCACAATACACAAGAAGTTTCAATTGGTACATATGTTCTCATATAGTCATTTTTGTAATTGGTACTTCTCTGACAATAAAATCATATATAAGCATCAGTAATGTCATTACGTAGTCTTTGTTCACCCACGTGAGTAAAATCACAAAACAATGGCATGGTTATTGCTTTTATCCAACCAGACCAAATCATTTTATCAACATTTAACTCTTAATTAGTTTGTACCCAGTGTCTGTAGTAAATGTAAACTACATCACACATTATTGCCAATGAATCAGCATACTTCTAGGTTCAGTCAGTTGGCGACTATTTGGTGAGCTTAAGGTTCAAAGAAATGTCAGATTGTATCTCCTTGCTTCGGATGATCGGCTACTGGGCTGATGACTGTAGAAACCTTGCAATATGATTAGTATGAAGAAATACATATATCCGTTAGCTGTCAACACCGGTAACCATGAACACATGACTACATATCCGCCGCGGGATGGTGATGTCATTCACATGCGTGATCTGAAACATTTGCTGTTATTCATTTATGGCTGATGCACCTCGATAACCTCACTGAAGAGATTTCATCCTAAAAACTATTTATTAGTTCCTTGTTAGCCGGGATGTTCATAAAACCATCTCTTATAAGCCACACGGGTACAGTTTAAGTGTTTGTACTATTGCAGTGCTAAAGCCTGCTTGTCTGGCATTAGGAACACCTTGGCATGCGTCTTTGATACAAGTACATGCGGTTGTAACGTCAACTTGTACAGTTCATACATTTGTTCCTGAAATAATCAAAATGTTGTTTTCGGCTGTAATTGTCATTATCCGTTTTGTTCCTTTTGTGAGTACATGTACCTGGAATACATTCGTGAGGGATTCTGCTATTGTTGACAAGACAACAAATACCCCAGACCTTAGGATACAGAATGGAACAGACAGCCAAGGTGATTGTGCAATATTGTGTTTTCAGACAAATCTCTGCGTATCATTTTTCTACAACAGCGTGTCAAGAATATGCCGCCTTCGTTCTGACACAACCAGAGCAGAGGATGTGACATTACAGACTGACATTGGCTACCATTACTTCAGAGGTAAGCATTTTTCATCAATCACATCTGTATCGTAAATTCACATGCACAGTACAAAAAAAGCTGCTCGTGTAACTGATTCCGAATCCCTTTATTGACTCTAAACGACATAATCATAATACGGCAATATAATGTGTTATATTTAAGGAACAGAATTTTTTTTGGTAAAACAAAGGAAGAAAAAAACGACAAGGCTAGTCCATGTATAGAACTGGGTGAATAAGCCATTGTCATACTTTCTTGTTTCACCAATCAATATGATTGTCATTGTGACAGCTGCATATCCAACCGTCAATATCATTGTCATTGTTCCATATCCACCCGTGAATATATCATTGTCAGAGCTCCATATCCCACCCGTCAAAAATATCATTGTCATAGTTCCATATCCCCCAGTCAATATTGTCATTGTCACAGTGCCATGTCCAACCATCAAGACGGACAACCTCACATCTACCCATATCGAGACTTCCAATGTCGATGGTGTCGTGACCATGAACGTAACCTGCAGCACCGATTACAGCTTCATCGGTCAGAGCAATGTTCTACAATGTGACGGTGACGGACTGTGGCCCAAGATTGTTGGATCTTGCAGTCGTACTCACTGGCTTAATCCCAGTTCGGTATGTTGTTGGGTTTTGTGGTGTGTGTGTTTTATCATTATAACATGACAGCTTAGCCAAAACATGTATTGTTTGGGATTTTGAAATGTGTTTAATATATAACCATATAGTAAACACACAGTTTAATGAGGTAATCTCTCAAAAAGTCGAATCACCTTTTGAGGTGGAATGTTACGCATTGTACTACCCGTGAACATAGGTAGATTTCATCGGCGACTAACGGGATCAGATGATCATGCTAGCTAACATGATTGATGCGTGTCATCGTGTCCCAGTAGCATAGATCTATGCTCATGATACCAATCACTTGAATTTCTTGTCTAGATTATTTACAAACCGGCATGGTATAGTTAGAAAACAGCTGGTTAACAGATACCATTACTCTGGATTTTGGTATTGTAACACGTGTATTTCCTCATGTTCTCTGAGACGTGGGCAGAACATGCAATCTATGGCTTTAACTGGTACATCCGTCTACGTGAATTTCACACATCTACTGCGAAACTGAACTGTGATTTCATGGGAGTTGATATTTATAGTCACAGTATTTCCACACTGAGGACCTAGTCACCTCACTGAGGACCTAAGTCACCACACTGAGGACCTTAGTCACCACACTGAGTGCCTAAGTCACCATACTGAGGACCTAAGTCACCATACTGAGGACCTAAGTCACCTCACTGAGGACCTAAGTCACCACACTGAGGGCTTAAGTCACCTCACTGAGGACCTAAGTCACCACACTGAGGGTCTAAGTCACCACACTGAGGGCCTAAGTCACCTCACTGAGGGCTTAAGTCACCTCACTGAGGGCTTAAGTCACCACACTGAGGGCCTAAGTCACCACACTCAGGGCCTAAGTCACCACACTGAGGGCCTTAGTCACCACACTGATGACCTAAGTCACCTCACTGAGGGCCTAAGTCACCTCACTGAGAGCTTAAGAGAGCCCAAGTCACCACACTGAGGGCCTAAGTCACCACACTGGGGGCTAAAGTCACCACACTGAGGGCCTAAGTCACCTCACTGAGAGCTTAAGTCACCACACTGAGGACCTAAGTCACCTCACTGAGGGCCTAAGTCACCTCACTGAGAGCTTAAGTCACCACACTGAGGACCTAAGTCACCTCACTGAGGACCTAAGTCACCACGCTGAGGGCCTGTCACCTCACTGAGAGCTTAAGTCTCCACACTGAGGGCCTTAGTCACCTCACTGAGGACCTAAGTCACCACACTGAGTACCTAAGTCACCACACTGAGGGCCTAAGTCACCTCACTGAGGGCCTAAGTCACCACACTGAGGGCCTAAGTCACCTCACTGAGGGCTTAAGTCACCACACTGAGGGCCTAAGTCACCTCACTGAGAGCTTAAGTCACCACACTGAGGGCCCAAGTCACCACACTGAGGACCTAAGTCACCTCACCGAGGGCCTATCCACCTCACTGAGGGCTTAAGTCACCACACTGAGGGCCTAAGTCACCACTATGATGACCTAAGTCACCACACTGAGAGCCAAAGTCACCACACTGAGGACGTAAGTCACCACACTGAGGGCCTAAGTCACCACTATGATGACCTAAGTCACCTCACTGAGAGCTTAAGTCACCACACTGAGGACGTAAGTCACCACACTGAGGGCCTAAGTCACCACACTGATGACCTAAGTCACCACACTGAGAGCCTAAGTCACCACACTGATGACCTAAGTCACCTCACCGAGGGCCTAAGTCACCTCACTGAGGGCTTAAGTCACCACACTGAGGGCCTAAGTCACCACACTGATGACCTAAGTCACCTCACTGAGGGCTTAAGTCACCTCACCGAGGGCTAAGTCACCACACTGATGACCTAAGTCACCACACTGAGGACCTAAGTCACCTCACTGATGACCTAAGTCACCACACTGATGACCTAAGTCACCTCACTGATGACCTAAGTCACCACACTGATGACCTAAGTCACCACACTGATGACCTAAGTCACCTCACTGAGGGCTTAAGTCACCTCACCGAGGACTAAGTCACCACACTGAGTGCCTAAGTCACCACACTGAGAACCACCGGGACTTATGCATGGTACTACAGCTACTTGAACTTAACCCTAACTGGATTTACCCCATACCTCTGGCTATTGGCGGTTAGGAGTGAAGTCAGGCAGTTAAAACTAATAAGAATGCTACGATTAAAATTACGGATGAAAAATACTTTGAATGAAACTTACGCACCCTTCATAGAGTGGAGAGCAGTTTGACCTGAAAGGATCTATCATCACATGCAGCATGTTGGACTCCATGGTTCCACTGACAGCCAAACCATCAGTCCGGGGGATGCAAGCAGCTGCAGGATTATTCTAGAGTGAACCGTTTGCAAATTGGTTGCAACAAATAGATTTAACTTATATCGTCATACGATAAGAAACATGCGTCACAGTGCATCAATACATTTATGCACAGTACAGTGGGTCAAAATGGCCAACAGAGCAGTGTGGTAGCTCAGTGGTTAAAGCGTTTGCTCGTCACGCTTTCGAAGACCCGGGTTCAATTCCCCAGATGGGCACAATGTGTGAAGCCCATGTCTGCTGTCACCCGCAGTGATATTGCTGGAATATTGCTAAAAGCGGCGTAAAACGCCACTCACTCACTAAATGGCCAACATAACACTATTTCAGAATTTGTCAATGACGTGTTAGTGGTCCTCATTGACAAGTTGGCCTATCATCTAACAACGATCATAAAGATATATTAAATTCACTGAAAATGCGCATAGATTGGTGAAATCTGTAACTGTCAGTCTGAGAACGGAGCGAGTCGATAGTTTGGATGATTATTTCTACATATTCTACCAGGAAGACTCAAGTTAGGATATTCTATTGCCGGCATGCAGTCAACCATTACATGAAAAGCAAAGTGTCTTAACGATCAGAAAACCTTCCGTTTTGTTTCCATATTTGGGGATTTCCAGAGCTTTCCTTTGGAATATGGGCATAGTCTGTAGCTAAAGGTTCATAACAGTGTTGTGAAAAACGTATGTGTCTTTATCTGCTTATGAATTTTAGTTTTAGGATGCTGTGACCGGCACAATGGAAATGTGGCTTTTCAAGAGACGTTGGGATCATTAAATAACCAGTTGTTGTTTATGACACTTGTATGTTGACATTGTATTGAGTATCAAACTCCACTTAGACCCATCTTTAGCATTTTTAATGCCAAAAATATTGTTAATGCCACAATGTCTATTTGATCTGAATTTAAATCTTAGGAGATTTACTACGATTAAATGTATGATACATGGAGGTAGATTCATTGTTGTACGGTAAGTTATGCTTCTCTGTTATGTGTTGCTTCAGTTTCCACGCATTAATTGTTCTACATTCTAAGTGTAGAAATATACCAGTCCAAACATGTTTGATTGATACCGATAACAGTGTATGTAGTAACAATACTCAATGTTACAGTTTGCGGAACCCATCCCGGGCGCACTGCACGCGGGCGCCAACATCACCTTCACTGCGCGTCAACATGCCACGGGCGACATGTAAGTACAACAGAAACTATTCGATTATAAAGAAGTGTGTACCCGTGTGTGTAAGTATGTGTGTGCGTGCGTGTGTGCGTGTGTAATTTGTACCCCGCTCTAACAGTGAGGGCGGAAAGTGAAGACCTTCACAGTCGATTAAGACTTTGGTACCAACGAACCAGGATTCGAACCCACTATGTTTCTGGCATAGTCTTGACGCCGTGATATAACTGGGAAACCGTCCAAATCGGAATTTAACTCACCTTACTCACTCAGTTATCATGCCTGGGTTGGTTGGTGAGGAACTACCAGGGCGACTCGCGGCGTCGTTCATCCGTGTCACCGAGCTAAGCTGCTTTGATATAGGATATGGTGAAGTGGGCTGTTTTGATGTTAACATGGAACGAACAAGATTCCTCCGTGAATAGTTTACAAATGTTTACATGATTTCTATACATAAATGCAGAAGTTTAAAACAAATACGTTTTATAGGTAAAACCAACATTTATGTTTTGAACTGACTTAAAACTGACTTGGCGGAAACCCTGCACCTTATTTGCGGATGTGACGTAAAATGGTGACGTCAGATGCACACGTCATCTCCGCTATTTCGTAGCGTTACTCAGTTCACTTCAGGCCGGCTTTTACGCAACATATCGTATTTCTTTACAGGAATTTAAAACCACCTCCTCCCTAGCCTCCTCATCTCTTTCTCTGTATGTTTGTATGCTTCTTTGACACGGGCTTCCCCACCTGTGTGGCCTATTTGTTATATATTCATCTAATTATTACGGTAATTATATTTTCATTAACAGTTAATAAAAGTTGTCCGCCTTGTACGGGCCGATACAACAACAATCCATGTTGTTGTAATTTGCCACAAATGAACTTGACGTGTTGAAATAAACAATGCCATTTTAGAAAGTGGTCAAATGTAACACGTTATATTTGGGATTACACTTTCTCAGTAAAGTACAGATTCTAGTACTTTTTTGGGGGTTGAGTCCCATCCGGGATTCGAACCCACACCCTCAGAGTCAGGCACCTAATCGCCAGCACACAAAGTCAGACGCCCAGACCGCTCAGCCACCGCGATTAGGTGCCTGACTCTGAGGGTGTGGGTTCGAATCCCGGATGGGACTCAACCCCCAAAAAGTACTAGAATCTGTACTTTACTGAGAAAGTGTAATCCCAAATATAACATGTGTTGAACTTGACGTTCTTGGGTAATACTTGTTTTGAGTATAAAGGCATTTAATTTCAGATGGGCAATGAATCTACACAACGACTCGGGTGTCATTGCTCTCCACATGACGGTGGGCGTGTCTGACTCGGTGGGATTGGACACGTTCACTGACCGGTGGTCCAACTTTTACACAGACACAACAACACAGCCCTTCCCACCCTACCCCAGTGTCTTCACCTGTAGTGTACAGGTCACGGAGGCCAGGTATCAAGTCAGCAGATCGCACATTGATCTCGGTGTAAACTGTTCCAGTGATGTTGATTTATTGATCATGGTTCTGTTCGTGTTTTTTGTGATGTTGTTTTTTTGTTATTGTTTCTTCTTTAACCTTGGCCTTTAATAAAACAGAATACCGTTCTTGGCAAATGGAAATACAAAACGGTCGCCTCTCAGTAATATGAGATCACTCAACATAGATTGTTATCGTGCCTTGCTTCTTTAAATAACAGATGATTGCGAATAGGAATTGTTGGATGCCACTCACAGCGGCATGAAGGACATTCAGAAATCAATGTTACATGCATGTACTCTTGGTGAGTTATACGTCCTGTAGGAATCTAGCTGATCCAGTCGTGTAAGCTGTACACGCTGTACACGCCTTCATTAGACGTGCATGGAACGGGATTTGTTGAGATTTGTTTCTTGGTTTGTTAGCACTAGAACCACGCTAGTAGAGCTTCAACAGATCTATAAAGACCTACCGCCTGGTTGTAATTATCTGTCAATAGTTGGAGATACACCCATTTCATATACATTCAGCTGTATCACACAGCAAAACCCTAGCTGCCAGGACTCTTGTATGGGTCATTCGAATGGGGACATCGTTAGCACTGTCACTGTACTGAACGTGAGTTCGATCACTGTACATCAATATAGTATGTATGCATCTTAAAAGCATCATGGCAAACTGTAAAGGTTGAGCGGATAAGCTAAACATGTGGTCGGCCTGCATGCATGGCCGCAGTACATACGATCGCGTTGAGAGTTTCAAGTTTTCAAACATTAAAACTGACCCCACCGTGTTATAAAACAGATCTGTTTCCAAAACGTTCTTACTTCTACTGGCATAGTGCTCGTATTTTAACAATAAGTACTGGATTTTCTGATTTTTCTCTATGTTACAATACTGGATCTCTAACTATTACAGATCTCTGATCCCGACCTGGCAAGTGACAAGTTTTACTCTTCTGCTCATTGACTACAATACTTCTTACAGGTGCTGGTGAATGGCGTGTCTTTCATTACCTACAACCACGTGATACCGGAGCTGTGGACCATCACCACGTTATCATTCTCGGGCTCAATACAGCTCTTGGAGGTTGATATGCAGCTGTAATCAATAGAGATCATGGAGGTTGATATGCAGCTGTAATCAATAGAGATCAAGGAGGTTGATATGCAAGTGTAATCAATAGAGATCATGAAGGTTGATATGCAGCTGTAATCAATAGAGATCATGGAAGTTGATATGCAACTGTAATCAATAGACATCTTGAAGGTTGATATGCAACTATAATCAATACTCATCATGGAAGTTGATATGCAACTGTAATGAATAGACATCTTGGAGGTTGATATGCAACTATAATCAATAAACATCATGAAGGTTGATATGCAACTGCAATCAATAAACATCATGGAGGTTGATATGCAACTGTAATCAATAGAGATCAATGGAGCTTGATATGCAGCTGTAATCAATAGAGATCATGAAGGTTGATATACAGCTGTAATCAATAAACATCATGGAGGTTGATATGCAACTGTAATCAATAGAGATCATGGAGGTTGATATGCAACTGTATTCAATAGAGATCATGGAAGTTGATATGCAACTGTAATTAATAGAGATCATGAAGGTTGATATGCAACTGTAATTAATAGACATCATGGAGGTTGATATGCAACTGTAATTAATAGACATCTTGGAGGTTGATATGCAACTGTTATCAATAAACATCATGGAGGTTGATATGCAACTGTAATGAATAGACATCTTGAAGGTTGATATGCAACTATAATCAATAATCATCATGGAAGTTGATATGCAACTGTAATGAATAGACATCTTGGAGGTTGATATGCAACTATAATCAATAAACATCATGAAGGTTGATATGCAACTGCAATCAATAAACATCATGGAGGTTGATATGCAACTGTAATCAATAGAGATCAATGGAGCTTGATATGCAGCTGTAATCAATAGAGATCATGAAGGTTGATATACAGCTGTAATCAATAAACATCATGGAGGTTGATATGCAACTGTAATCAATAGAGATCATGGAGGTTGATATGCAGCTGTAATCAATAGAGATCATGAAGGTTGATATGCAACTGTATTCAATAGAGATCGTGGAAGTTGATATGCAACTGTAATTAATAGAGATCATGAAGGTTGATATGCAACTGTAATTAATAGACATCATGGAGGTTGATATGCAACTGTAATTAATAGACATCTTGGAGGTTGATATGCAACTGTTATCAATAAACATCATGGAGGTTGATATGCAACTGTAATGAATAGACATCTTGAAGGTTGATATGCAACTATAATCAATAAACATCATGGAGGTTGATATGCAACTGTAATCAATAGAGATCATGGAGGTTGATATGCAAGTGTAATCAATAGACATCTTGGAGGTTGATATGCAACTGTTATCAATAGACATCTTGGATGTTGATATGCAACTGTAATGAATAGACATCTTGAAGGTTGATATGCAACTGTAATGAATAGAGATCATGAAGGTTGATATGCAACTGTAATCAATAGAGATCATGGAGGTTGATATGCAGCTGTAATCAATAGACATCATGGAGGTTGATATGCAACTGCAATCAATAGACATCTTGGAGGTTGATATGCAACTGTAATCAATAGACATCACTGAGGCTGCTATGCAACTGTTATCAATAGAGCTGTTGGAGGTTGATATGCAAATGTAATCAATAGACCTATTTGAGGTTGATATGCAACTGTAATCAATAGAGATCAGATGAGGTCATTCCAATAAAGACATATATACCGTCTTTTCTCCACTGCCACGGAGGGCATAAAGTACAAACTATTCAGTGAGTCCTGTCCATGTATGGTCCTAGTATGGTGATCTACCTTCAGATGTTGGCGATCTATAGCCCTGATCGACCTTCAGTTGTTGGCGATCTATAGCCCATTTTTATACTGTTTTGTCCTAATTTGAAATCCAGTTTTAGAGAGAGTTGCCAGTTTTCTTCCTGGATACTGTGATATTCTAGTTGATCTTACTGTCCTTCGTCGGCAGATTTTTATAATTTATATGTCTTTATGGTGAATTCACAACTTGTTTGTAGTCACGATATGGCTGAAATATTGCCGATGTGACTTAAAATCTTAACTCACTCTCTCACTCAGTGAGTCCTGAAGCTAGGACGACCAAGCATACTAGAGACACATGTAGATCCTTCTTCTATGATGCTATAAGGACGACAAGTGAGGATATATAACATCCATCTGTGCAGGAAAGTTGTATGTTGCCCAGTTCATTATCTTCACATCACTCTGATCACAGTAACATAATCCTGCACGGACAAAAGACTGACGCGTGCCTCAACGACACTTCACTGACTTGGTTCAGTGTTAACTGTAGTTTCTGTTTGGCACGGTTTTGTATTTACTTGCTACATAACCTTGTCAATATTTGATGCAACCCTGGAAATGGGGATGGACATTGTTTTTCCCAGTAATACACCTTTCATTCTTGGTGGATGAGAAAGCGGTCACACACTTCAGGTATTGTCGTCAGAAGAGATCGATACAGATGCTTTTCGTTAGTGTGAGAGTGTTTGTGTCACTGTGTTACAATAACGATATTTGTCTGTGAACTATGAGTTGTCATTACATTTGTTAGACTGAAGTTTGAATGGTGTTTATGAGTCCTGAAAAGCAATCAGTTCCAACTGGGATGTTTTCTTTGAAACATAGTTTGTGTTTTCCTTACATAGACGTCCGTTATAGACCGCCTTAGATTTATCCATATATTCTCCTCAGAAAAAGTAAGGTTTCGTGTATTATAAATGATAATACCAAGTATTTGAACAAAGATGAGTGTTAAAGCAAACATCCTATGCATGACCGATCCAGGACGGGTTGTGAAGGACTGTCTACACGTGTCGTGATATCGGGTTGTGAAGTACTGTCCACACGTGTCGTAAGATCTCCTCGGGTTGTGAAGGACTGTCTATACGTGTCCTAAGATCTCCTCGGGTTGTGAAGTACTGTCTACACGTGTCGTGAGATTTCCTCGGGTTGTGAAGTACTGTCTACACGTGTCGTGAGATCTCCTTGGGTTGTGAAGTACTGTCTATACGTGTCCTGAGATCTCCTCGGGTTGTGAAGTACTGTCTACACGTGTCGTGAGATCTCCTCGGGTTGTGAAGTACTGTCTACACGTGTCGTGAGATCTCCTCGGGTTGTGAAGTACTGTCTACACGTGTCGTGAGATCTCCTCGGGTTGTGAAGTTCTGTATCTACGCGTGGTGAGATCTGATCAGGTTGAGGAGTACTGCCTATGCGTGTTGAGAGATCGCCTGGATTGTTTACGGTGGTTACACGTGTAATGAAATCGAACTGTCCGAGTTAAACATCGGCATTACATTTGCATTACTATCATATGATCGGTAAAAGTGGAACTTCACCCTCGATGACATTCAATACATCGCGGCAGCCAGCAAGTGAAAGTGGTTTTTGATACACAGATCAATATTATCAGCATCAAATATCAAAAGAGGACAAACTACAGATTTTGTATTGATTATATTAGCCATTCCACGTATATGATACTAATTGGCAAAAATATCGCATATTGCGCAGTGCGTGGTGCTAATGATAAAGTGAAGGTTGTTTACTTGAACTTGATACTCTAGTGCAGTCCATAGATTAGAGGAAATATATCGATGTATTTATTAAAGTCAGCAATGTACTCTGTGTGATCGAAATTCCAGGTGAAGTTATTGATTATCCTTAAAGATTGTGATTGTGGAATAACAACAGACATGTTAAAAGACAGATGACGTCTTAACGACCCGTCTGGGATTCATGCCAAAAGTAGGGGAAGTGGTCCTACGTCATTAGATTGAAAGGCTCAATGCACATCACTGCATTCAACTGGAGGAGAAGTCAAAACACTCTTCAAAAGAAAATATGCATTAGTGAACTTTGAACAATTTTACTGTGCTCAATAATATGTATATTTTATTTATGTCTGTGCCTTTGTTTGATACAAGGATCATTAGTAGTATATAGAATGGGGATTCTGTGACAAGCCAACTAAGAGCGCCTTTATATGCTAATTCCGCTTCCAGCCCCCAGTATAAGTTAACGATTTCAAGAGACATCATTCGATGCACAGTCCAGACATGTGCCTTAGAAACTCCCCCAGGGTGGTTCTATTACAGGCCAACTAAGAGCGCCATTATATACCAATTAACGATTTCGTTGCTCAATGTACAGCCACCTGGTGGGCCTCAGAAACGAGCAGAGACATCATTCGATGTACAGCCCATGCACCTTAATGATTTCGAGAGACACCATTCAATGTACAGCCCAGACTTGCACCTCAACGATTTCGAGAGACATCATTCGATGTACAGCCCATGCACCTCAACGATTTCGAGAGACATCATTCGATGTACAGACATGCACCTCAATGATTTCGAGTGACATCATTCGATGTACAGCCCAGACATGCACCTTGTGGTTCTGGTACAGGCCAACTAAGAGCGTCATTATATACCAATTTCATCACTCAATGTACAGCCACCTCAGAAACTCCCACCCAGTGGTTTATAAGCGTGTTCTCGTACGCGTAAGTCGTGACGCCGTCGGCAGCGATCCACCGTTTAATGTCCATGGGCGACAGCGACGTCTTGTTGAGGGTGATGCCGTAGATGTTGTGTTTGTCGCTTCTCAACGCATTCATTCGGTGTTTGAACGTCTTATTCTTGAACAGAGCTTGTTTGAAGAGGGCGTGTTTGATGTGTTGTTTCACCACGTATTTCTTGACCCCCCTTTGTCTTTCGGATCTCACCCTTGTCAGCTTTCAAGATGGAGTACATCTTAGGCCTCAAGCCGACGTATTCAGCGATGGGTGTGCCCGCGCATTCGTCCTTCATCTTGCCGAGGACCTTTTTGTTGATCGTGCTGTGTAGGGCATGGTCCTTGGGGTAATCGCTGGTGTCGTACAGGTGTATGTGTTTTGCCATGTCCTCGTACACGTCCTCGGTGCGTATATCCAGCAACAAGGAATCCGTGTCCGTGTACAGCAGCCCGCATCGATCACCGTATTGCTTTTTGAGCCGGTTGTAGTAGAAATCATACATGAGATGTTTGGATAGGTCGAGAATGCTCATCCCCACGTAGACGGGTCGGTTGAGCTTGATGTGACTTTTGTTCATGTGCAGCGACGCCAAGTCGTTATTGAATAGCTTGCTTCGGTTGAAGGCCAGGCTAGCGATCAGTTTCCTGAGTTTTTTCCTCCACGAGTTTGACCGTCACCCGTTTTCTCAGGTTCTCCATCGTCTTACCAAACACCAAGTTGTTCATGAGCTTATACAAGTTCTTCTCGAAGTCACTGGTGGCCAGCTTTCGCAGGTCCGTGTTCATTCTGATGTAGGG